AATACATTAGAAGGAACTAGAGCGACCAGTGGGATGGCTACTGTAAGACAACAGCAGCTCTTTTCGACTAGGAAAATGGTCAGTCTTCCTCTCCCCATTTGCAGCCCCCAGTTCTCAATTCGCAGCCCAGTCTGAATCCGGGCTTACAAAGGAGTTGAGTGGAGTTTGGGAGCACAATAAGCCCAGCTTCCTTCTGCACACAGCTCCCACTCCCCCCCCAAAACCCTTCTTGTCCAATGCTGTTTCGTCCCATCCTCATCTCTTCTGACCAGATCAGGGAGAATGAGAGCAAAGAGAGGCTGACACACTGGTAGGAGATGCCCGTGCAGAAGAAGCCTACTACATTTTAAAACTGGTAGTTTATAGATTTAGAGACAAAATAGTGAAGAAGCATGGATCCTTGAGTAAGGAACACCCACTGGATAGCATAAAGATGATATAAGGGTGTGAGAGAATGTCCAGTGTGAGTGGGAAAGGGGCTAGGAAATGATGCCAGTGTAAGCACTCCATATGCAGAAGGTCTTGAAGGTGGGAGCAAGGAGCTTGGTTGTGATTCAGAACTTGAATAAAAAAGGATAAAGAAATAGTAGAGGTGATTTCTGCAGCCATCTGTGTGGCTTAGAGAAGGCAGAAATGGTCATCACTAAGGCCAGCTAAGAGTTTGTAGTAATCATGGTGTGAGCTGTGTAGGGCATGAGTGAAGGATTTAGGATGTGAAATGGAGACAAGTGAGACATACGCATGTATGTTTATATGGTTGTTTTAACTTGTATCTGGGATGCTTACACTTGTTTATATTTGCTCTGTCTGGTTTAATACAAAACCGCCATGGAACAGCAAAAATCAAGAGAAGACTAAAATTATATGCCACGCATTTGGGAAAAGATGGAGTCCTTTCACACCTGAGATGGCAGATGTATCAAACCAGGATGACAGTGCTCTTTCTAGTATAGTTGGCCAACCCAACAACCTACAACTCATCGCACTTAACAGACCTTTTGCAGGCAGTGAGATGGGCCATCAATCCTCTGCCTCGCAAAGTTCAGGGTAACAGTTGGAGGTGAGGTTGATTTACCCTGGGACAAAGCACTTTCCAAGGAACCGCTGCTCAACTGGCACCCAAACACCACTTGTACTGAGCCTTTTATTCTAGGTTATATTTTTGCTTAGCAAGCATTTCCATTGTGAGATTTCCCACTTCCAACATAGCAAAACACGTCTGCAATATTTAGCTCTGCTTTCTTCTGGGAGTTACTAAAATAAAGTGCATTGTTAACAAAGAGTACTATTTGCCTACAAATAGAGCAGCTCCAGTTAAGAACTTCTCCTTTAGCACGATATTTGTAACTCCACATTGGACCCTACAATGCTGCTTAGCTTATCTGAGAACATATCAGCTGCTGATTTAAAGAGTTTTGCCTGGGCCTGGTGAATTTTATGCCTGGTCCCAAAGCAGACACCAATTTTGTCTCTTACAATCTGCCGTTATTTACAGCCTCTCATTGTCACCCTCTATATATCCTGCTACAAACTTCCATCCACCTGTTAATTTATAACATGGGCTCCTGGTTTTGCTTCCTGGGGATTGATGGATGGATAAATAAATAAAGCAAATATCAAAAAGGAAGCAAGTTGCTTAATTGTATTAGATAATTCCAAAGTAAATGTATATTAGATTCTGAATGTAAGCAAGCAAATTAGAGCAACACTGAAGTACGGCTGCTAGGGTGATTAGCAAGGACTAAAGGGAAAAATCCTCCCAAAGAGGAGATCGTGCCTTATCAATCCCACACATATTTCCTCCACCTGTACAAGCCCTGTACGTGAAAAAAAACACCAACAGATTTTTACAGGCCGAAAATGTACCTTCGTTTACACTTTCTAGAAATCCAAAACACAGCAGATTGTAACAAGACCAAGCAGAAGTTGAGGCTTCGGCAGGCAGAGTGAAACTGTGAAGGATGAATAATGAGGAGGAAGAAGCTTTCTCCCAGCTGCTGCTGCTGGAGATGCAGTGCAGGTGCGATGGGAAGTGTCTGATGGCTCAGAACCCGCAGAGCCCATTGCACCTCTAATGCTTGTTCCTAGATCAGCCTGCCCTTATTGATGCAACAGAAAATATGAGTTAATATGCAATTTATATATGCAGGTTAAGGCTAACAGGAGTCTATGCATTCTGTAGGATGGCTTGACAGTGGAAATGTAAGGCACTGCAACATATGCTCACCAACAGTCCAGTGCACAAAGGTCTTGTTATCAGGGATGAATCAGCAGGACAGCCATAGAGCTAATAGGATGTACATAAGCACACGGCTCAGGAGCATGTCTGTGATATATACTCAGATTAATGCCTGGAATGGCAGTAGTGCATGTTGATGCTTCCTTGAGTCCCACAAGATGTGCTAGGACAGGATCTGTGGAAAGTTCACCCCACTCGTCTATGGCTTGGATGTAAACTGGGCAACCCCTGAAAGCTGACCTTGGTTCTGACTGCAGGTAAGTGCTGGAACAGATTGCAAAGTGGGGAAGATCCACGGATGCCAGTGGCAGCTCCTTCTCTTAATAGCATGGGGCTATTTCAGAAGACAAGATGAAGCATTTGGTCCTTCTAATGCATGCAAATGTCTGCATGGGATAAGTCAACGTTTGGAAAAGTTGGGAAGAACTTTTGCAAACCAACCTTGCTATGACCAATAGATCTGGAACATCCCCATTGCCTGCAGTGTTACACAGTTCCTGCCTTTCCCTCTGAAATGTGACTAGACTCCCAGAAAGGAGATGCCATGCTAAAAAAACAAAACAAAACAAAACAAAACAAAACATAAAAGCACGGAAATCATGTAGAAACAAACAAAAGAGGCTGCTACCCAATGAGGTGAGAAAGAAAACGATTAAAACGCGTGAAAAACCTGTTGCTACCACTTCTGCATTTGGCCAACGAAGAGGGACGAAGAGGCCCCACTGGGTAAACATGCTCTCTCCTGGGATCAAAGGGGAAGGAATGGAAGCGAGTCCTCAGGCTCCATGGACCCAATCCAGTTGGTTTTCTACTAATTTCTGTGGGCTTTGGCAGCATACAGAACAGGGACTGGGGCTGGCAAAGGAAAGCCCTGCCATTACGGCCAAGTTTCCACTCTGCCCTAAAACTGCAGAAGGGTTTTAGCAGAGCCCAGGAACGCATGTGGCACAAAGAGTGCCCGATATGTCAGCTCCCAGCCTTCTCCATCAGCCCCATCTGGCAATGGGATGATGGTGATGTCCCCCTGCTTAGGCCCTGGTCCAAGTGTTTCCTACAGGATATGAGGGCCAGACAGCTCCTTCCCCTAGGGGTAAGGCTGAAAATCGAGCCTGTTCTGAATGGTATGGGGTCCCCAGCTTGGGGCTGGGGCCGGAAGCAGTTGCTTGCTTGTGACTTTGTGCTTTCACAAGGGCTTTCAGAACGGAGCAGTTCACAGAATAAAGCTTCTGGGGCAGTTCTTCCTGTTGCCTTGCCTCGAGTAATCGCTCTGGGCCTGTTTACACTAGCAAGTTGTACTACCAGTATTTTATACAGGCGCAGGTAAATCAGCACAACACCTGCATTGTGTGTCTGCTGCTGCCTGGCGTGAAGGCAAGCACAGGGTTTAGGAGCTACTGGAAAGCAAGCCAGCATCGTGCAGAGCACGAGCTAAGAAGGAACAGGCACGGGTGTACGGCATGGCATTTCAACCTGGGTACTGATCACAGGTTTACTATGGAATTGTAACGAGTTTACTAAAAATAGAGCACTGTTAAATTGCAGACAATTACTTGGTTTGCTCAGCCCAGAGCAGAAGGGGGTGAGGGGAGGCCTGATGGCATCTGCAGCTCCTCACAGGGAGCAGGACAGCGCTGGCCGCTGCAGGGCCTGAGGGAATGGCATGGAACTGTTACAGGGGAGGGCCAAGTGAGGGTTAGGGAAAGGCTGTGTCCCAGAGGGCGGTGGGCACAGAAAAGGCTGCCCAGTGCAGTGGGCAGAGCCCAGTGCTGGAGCTCAGGGAGCGCTGGGACACTGTTCTCAGGCATAAGGTTTGGATTTGGGTGATGCTGTGTGGAGCCAGGGGTTGGACTCAATGATCCTTGTGGGTCTCTAACAACTCATGATGTTCTATGACTCCTAGCTTAAGAATTCAAGCAGGAATTAAATCCTCTGTTCTTTTTTAATGCCTTCGGTTGTGCCGAACAGCAACGGATGCAGCCCCAGCACCTTTAATTTGTCCACCAGAGTGGGCACCTCCCCATTCTGGGCTGGGGTTTCCCAGTTCGAGCACTGTGCATAACGGCATTACATTATGCAGAGCTTTGGGATCACGCGGTCACTGAAGGTGCTCCAAATAGGCTGGCACTCACTGCCAACCCAATTCAATGGTTGAAGTCTGTAAAGGAATAGTGGCAAAACAGTCACAGCAAAGAAATGGATTAAATTAGTGACAAATATGCCGGTTGATAAACCTGATGCATGAAGATATATTGGAAAAGACACACCGCAGCGCTCCCAGGGCGCACCGCTCCGCGCTCCTTCCGCGGGGCTGCGTCGGAGTTGGGAGCGGGACGGCCAACGCTGCGGCCGGGCGGGGAGGAAGGGAGGAGGAGGAGAAAGAGCAGGAGGAGGGAGCAGCCGGCAGCACGCACCGGCCGCCGGGGCTGGCCGGGCCGGCGGGGGCTATTGTGTGCACCAGCCGGGGCCGCGCACACACACACACGCTCCCACACACGCACTCACTCACACCCGCGGCTCGGAAGGAAAGTATCGCGAGAGCGGCCGGCGAACAACCTGCTCCGCAGCCCCGCCGGCCCCGCGCCGCGCCCGCGGAGCGCCGCGCACCGCGCACATGCGGCCGCACAGCCCCGCCGCCGCCCGCCGGTGAGTACGGGCCGGCCGAGCCCCGGGAGAGAGAGCCCCGCAAAGTTGCGGAGAGCGGAGCTGAGAAAGAAGGGGAAGGGGGGGGGGGCGGCCGAAAAGCGGCTCCGCGGTGCCCCCCCCCCCTCCTTCCCTTCTCTCGCTCGCTCCGGCGAAGGTCACCGCGGTGGTGCGGGGAACGAGCTTTGCGGTGAGGAAGGGGGGGGGGGGGGGGG